TTCTTTCTCTTTCTTTCTTTCCTTCCTTCCTTCCTTTCTTCTTTCTTTCTTTCTTTCTTTCTTTCTTTCTTTTTCTTTCTTTCTTTCTTTTTCCTCCCTCCCTCCCTTTTGTTTCTTTCTTTCTCTCTCTCCCTTCCTTCCTTCCTTCTTCCTTCCTTCCTTCCTTCCCCCCCCCCCCAATATCCACAAATAGATGATAATTCCTGTTGATGTACAGATTGCCCTTTCTCTAAAATTTTAGGACAGTTTTTTCATGCTCATCAAGTAAGCCCAACAAGATTAGAAATTCATGGCTAGAGGCTGAACAGTTAAAAATTTAAAACTAACTAGCATAGGGGTAACTTTTGTTATGGATATCTAGAGATCAAAACTAAAAAAAAAACCTTCATAAGCCTGTGAGGAGGAAATGTTGCCTTTGCTGCCTCTCTGTTTTTGTGTTTAGTGTTGTGATGGGAGCCACGTGGTCTTAAGAGGATGAAAAATTCCTGCCTCCCTTCCTTCTGTGCTAGAGATAATCGAGCACATCTGGACCTGAGAAGGTTAGGGAAGCTTGATCCAGGGTGCATTTGTCGTGTTGAATTATTTATGTTTTTGGCTTGGCTCAGGAGGTTTTGTCTGCAGAAGGAAAGTGGGGCCATAAATCAGTCAAACAAAGAGCCAAGTAAGGGGACAGCAGTGCACAAGTTGTTATTTACTGTAAGTTGCAGAACCCAGATGGGAAAGAAAGAGCTCAGCCAGACAGGGAAGATGGAATACGAAGACACCGACAGCCACAGGTCTGAAATTGGTGGGATTCAAATAATTTAACAACCAGTTCTTTGCCCTTGTGACTGGCTGGCTGGGCGTGGCCATGGTGGGTGTGGCCAAGGGGTGTGACAGGCAGCACTCAGCCTCCTGTACCGCCCTGGGAGCAAACATATTGGGAGGGGTCTGCATCCCTGCATCACTTGTTTTGGGCCTAGTAGGCCTCCCTGCAGCCTCCTGGGAGCAAAAACAGGCCACAGGGCGGAGGCACCATACCCCCCATGCCCCATTTTGGGCCTAGTAGGCCTCCCTGCACTTACCTGGGAGCCAAAACAGGACATGTGGGACTCCTGGAAGGAGTGGGGCAGGAAGGGGCAGGGCCAGCCAGCAATTTAACAACCGCTTCGCCTGGACTGACCCAAACCGTCTGAATCCCACCACTGGCTGGGCCATTCTGGTTCTGGAGCAACAGAGGAAAGCATGGGGTCTCCAAACATTGAATGGATGGAGCTCACACTAAAACCCCAATTCAGTCAGTGGTGGAAGGCATTACAGTGGTGGAAGGAGCCATGGTGGTGCAGTGGCGCAGTGGTTAGAATGCAGTACTGCAGGCTACTTCTGCTGACTGCCGGCTGCCTGTAATTTGCCAGTTCAAATCTCACGAGGCTCAAGGTTGACTCAGCCTTCCAGCTTTCCAAGATCGGTAAAATTAGGACTCAGATTGTTGGGGGCAAGAGGCTGACTCTGTAAACTGTTTAAAGAGAGCTGTAAAAGCACTATAAAGTGGTATATAAGTCTAAGTGCTAGGGGTATTGCTATCTCTTCCCTTGTCCCAATTTCGACAGGCTCAGATATGCAGAGTAATAGGATAACAAAACCCCAGAAAGGAGTTTGGGGGTGCATTTTCCATCAGTGCAGAAGCTTTCAGAAGCTGCAATTTGCTTCATCATCTGTAGTTGCATCACTTTATGGGATGTGCCATGAGGCATGGTTCCTCTTAGTAATTTTGAACTATTTTGATGCAATTTTGACCCTGAAATGGTATCTTGGAAACAGGAGCCAATTAATACTCAGTACTTAATTTTCCTTTGTTGGTGACCCAATTCTGGTAAAATTTTATTTCTGAGGCTTTCTCCTTATAGGCCAATGTAATTGCGGTGCTCCAGTGATTATCCCCCATTCTGATTGGTCATGGTGTTCATGGCATGTCCCTAGATATTAGACACGCTTGCTGGTGAATTCTGGGAGTTGAAGTCCACACATCTTAAAGTCCTCAAAGTTGAAGAACAATGCCCGAGACTCATCTGCTTTACAAATACAGTATGAAGATAACAAAGCAGGGAAATTATGATACCTTTCCCTTCTTGGAAGAAGGGTAAAAATAATGATCAACAAGTTCTCTATGTTTGTTGTGGCCCGCTAGCAGCCAGCGGATCTGGCAGCAGATTCAGACAGTGAGGAGGTTGGGGAAGAACATGGGACAGTCCTGGAGTCTGGGGAAGGCTCTGATGAGGGCTCTGAGTCCGAGGCAGAGATGGGGCCAGGGCTGTCTGACAGTTATCAGCTGCCTTTTGAGTTGGACATCAGTGGGGCAGAAGAACAGCTGGAGCCTGTTCCCAGTGTGCGCATGCGCAGAACTGCTAGGAGAAGGGAACAGCTAAGGAACAAGGGTCAACTCATGAGTAAAGCCACTATGGGAGGATGAATGGCCCCTCCCATAGGGAATAAAGAGGAGTGAGAGCAGAGTTTGCAGGAGACAATTACCGTATTTTTCAGAGTATAAGACTCACCAAGATTTTGAGGCAAATTTAAAAAAAAGTTTAAAAGTTTAAAAACAGGCCTGTTTTTTTTCTCAACAAAGAGCATGCATAGCCTTTAGGAGGCTTATAGAGTGCTCCTGGGTCGGGTGTGTGTGTGTGTGTGT